GTGGTATGAAACAGAACCTATTGAAGTGTGTGAAGGAGGGAGAAGGCGCTGAGTCGCCAGATGAAGTGAAGTTGTTAGTTATGAAAAAGCTTATCGGCTGTATGAATGAAGTACAATGTTAAAATTTTTCGTCTGAATTTTTCGTGCATTGTTAAAAAATTTTGTCTGAAATTTCCGGTACACTTTTTGGACATTTTTACCGAATTTAATTACCACTGAAATTTCAAAGGATTTCGTCATTGAAAATTCAGAATTTCGTGGATAAATGAAAGAGAACTGTCAAGTTCACGGCCGAAGCGAATGAGAACTGTCAATTCCGTTGAAGATATTTCGGTTTTAGTCTTACGCTTACGCTTATTCGAGATTTTCGAGATATTTCGGGATAGATTTCTTTTCTCCTTTTTACGATAGGATACTTTTGAGAGTTCTGAATAACCCGTCGCTTAAATAGTTGGAATCAACGTTCACCCGGCTAAAAAATTCGATTTTGGTGAAAGTCGACTTTCCCCTGGAAAAACAGAAAATCTGACCCTTTGAAAATCTAAAAAAAAACTTTTTCAGTTTTCACTTTTTCCACATACTTTTGAGAGTTCTGAATAACCCGTCGCTTAAATAGTTGGAATCAACGTTCACCCGGCTAAAAAATTCGATTTTGGTGAAAGTCGACTTTCCCCTGGAAAAACAGAAAATCTGACCCTTTGAAAATCTAAAAAAAAACTTTTTCAGTTTTCACTTTTTCCACATACTTTTGAGAGTTCTGAATAACCCGTCGCTTAAATAGTTGGAATCAACGTTCACCCGGCTAAAAAATTCGATTTTGGTGAAAGTCGACTTTCCCCTGGAAAAACAGAAAATCTGACCCTTTGAAAATCTAAAAAAAAACTTTTTCAGTTTTCACTTTTTCCACATACTTTTGAGAGTTCTGAATAACCCGTCGCTTAAATAGTTGGAATCAACGTTCACCCGGCTAAAAAATTCGATTTTGGTGAAAGTCGACTTTCCCCTGGAAAAACAGAAAATCTGACCCTTTGAAAATCTAAAAAAAAACTTTTTCAGTTTTCACTTTTTCCACATACTTTTGAGAGTTCTGAATAACCCGTCGCTTAAATAGTTGGAATCAACGTTCACCCGGCTAAAAAATTCGATTTTGGTGAAAGTCGACTTTCCCCTGGAAAAACAGAAAATCTGACCCTTTGAAAATCTAAAAAAAAACTTTTTCAGTTTTCACTTTTTCCACATACTTTTGAGAGTTCTGAATAACCCGTCGCTTAAATAGTTGGAATCAACGTTCACCCGGCTAAAAAATTCGATTTTGGTGAAAGTCGACTTTCCCCTGGAAAAACAGAAAATCTGACCCTTTGAAAATCTAAAAAAAAACTTTTTCAGTTTTCACTTTTTCCACATACTTTTGAGAGTTCTGAATAACCCGTCGCTTAAATAGTTGGAATCAACGTTCACCCGGCTAAAAAAATCAATTTTGGTAAAAGTCGACTTTCCCCTATGAAAATCATTCTTCTTTCCCCTGGAAAGACGGAAAATCTGACCCTTTGAAAATCTAAAAAAAAAACTTTTTCAGTTTTCACTTTTTCCACATACTTTTGAGAGTTCTGAATAGCCCGTCGCTCAAATAGTTGGAATCAACGTTCACCCGGCTAAAAAAATCAATTTTGGTAAAAGTCGACTTTCCCCCTGGAAAAATCCAAGATCTGACACTTTGGCCCTCGTGACCCTTGTGACCCTTCGACCGACTTTCCCCCTGAAAAAATCCAAGATCTGACCCCTTTGGGTCCGGGTGAAAAATTTTTTTTTTCATTTTTAACTTTTTCCACATACTTTTGAGAGTTCTGAATAGCCCGTCGCTCAAATAGTTGGAATCAACGTTCACCCGGCTAAAAAATTCGATTTTGGTAAAAGTCGACTTTCCCCTGGAAAAACGGAAAATCTGACCCTTTGAAAATCTAAAAAAAAAAATTTTTCAGTTTTCACTTTTTCCACATACTTTTGAGAGTTCTGAATAGCCCGTCGCTCAAATAGTTGGAATCAACGTTCACCCGGCTAAAAAATTCGATTTTGGTAAAAGTCGACTTTCCCCCTGGAAAAATCCAAGATCTGACACTTTGGCCCCCGGTGAAAACATTTGTTTTCGATGATTTGATTCGATGAATCCCAACAGCATCGGCAGCCGCTTAGAATTTTACCCACCTTTTCTCTCCCTGAACCTAATCAACAAAATGTGGCGTCATACACAGGGTAAAGCATCAAAAACCCTCGTAAAATGAAAATTGGTGAGCTAAACGTTCCATCAAGCCGGCAGCTAAAGGAGTGCAAGTATTTTCCGAGCTGACTATATCCCGAGTAAGAAACAAACTTTTCCAACTCTCGAATGCCTGCATTTGTGTTTGTGCGAGGGGGTATTATCGTTCGCGAGTGTGTCTAAACTTGAAGAAAATCCTCCGTCGAATGCGTTCACCCTGCGGGTCGAAAAGTTTTGTCGTCAGTTCGCTGAGATAAAATATAAAAGGAGAATTAAGAAAAAAATACGGGAAAAAGTAAGTGAAGGAAAGCACAACCGGTGGAGTATAAGTCGGAGGACTGTGCCTCCGAGAAAAATAAGGGGGCGAAGGAAGTAGTGAATCAAAAAAAAAAAAAAAACTGAAAAATACGTTCGGACTGAGAAGTCTTGCGGGGCGTGTGGATTTTGTGAGAAGTATAAAAGGCACAAACCGCGTCTTGGCACGAGCTGAGAAAATCCAGCGGGGGATTAGGAGGTGCTAGGTAACCGGTTTTCTTCACAATCCCCACAGCACCAATCTACTGAGAGTTCACGCTCTCTACTTTCATCTTTTTTCATCCCCACCCACTCCCAAGTCACTCCTTTCATCCCTCCTTTATTTCTCGTCTCATTATCCAGTTAATTGGTTTCTTTAGCGTTATTCTGTGTTTATGGAGGAAAACAATATATAATTACAGCTCACTTTATTTCAGGTTGTTTTACGGGCTTTTTCATAGAGAAGGGCGGTGAAGAAGAATAGAATAAAAAATAATTACTTGGATTTTTCTTCCTATGAAAATCATTCTTCTTTCACCAATGATTTACTCTGTGAGTGGGGGTGATATGACTAGGGCAGCTGGTGCATGTACCGCCCACCTAGGGGAAATGAGTCTTTTTCCACTCGCACTCTGCAAGGAGTCATAAACGATTAGAATGGGTTCTTCGAGATGTTCACTCGAAGATGTGAAGAGGGCAGATTTTTTATGAACATTAAACATATTTAATTACGTAATTCAATTGCCATCGGCCAGTGAGCGATGGAATCGAACTTTGTGGGTAATACCGCCCGGCATACGCCCAATACCGCCCGCCTTGTTTTCATGACTTTTTTGAGCAATGCAGACCAACTGTTATAATTTTTCCTATTTTGATCCTTCGTTTCCATTCTTTGGCTCCATTTTGAGAAAGATTTCACGTGAATAATAATAAATTATTCTGAATTTACCCGATGTTCCAGTGGCCACCGACTACCCCAAACAATCGAGCTGTCACTCGACCGCCCTCTAGCTGCAGAGTCTAGCAGCCCTATAGAAACCCTGGGCGGCATTACCCACAAACTCTGGGCGGAATCACCCATAAACGCGGAGGCTGATAAAATAGCCAATAATTACTGATGAAAATATTTTTCTGCTATCGAAAAGGTCGCAATGGATGTGGAAATGTATAACGAACATAAATTTCGCACTCCATTCAATTATGGACCGACTGAAAATTTGAAGAATCTTAAATTCTGGGGTCGAAATATTTCAAGAATTCGGTAGGAAATGATTTGAATTTTTTTAACGATGTTTCCACGGGAGAAAATTGAAAATTTGGATTGAAATTATTTTTTGTTATAAAATATTTGTGTAATAAAAAAAGAAGAAAAAATTCTCAGCCAATTCTGAGAAATACAGGTGGGTAGAGTGAGCAGGCGTTGACTCGCCAGATGAAGTAAAGTTGTTAGTTGCGAAGACGTTTATCGGTTGTAGGAATGAGTACAGTGTTAGAAATTTTCGTCTGAATTTTCCGTGCCAAATTCCGGCAATTTTTCTCGTGTTCAATTTCCACCGAAATTTCAGGAAAACTTGTCATGGAAAAATCACATATTCCATTAATTTTCTGTTCAAATGATCTGGCAATCAATACAATATTCCATTTTTCAGTTAAATTATTCTGTGAAAATTCTGAAAAATCGGGAAAATTCAGGGAAAAATTGAGAATTCATGTCACTTTGTCTCTGAATATTCATGTTCCACCAAAAATTCAATCAAGTCCCACTGAAAACTCACGAGTTTCCGTGAATTCTACTTAAAACTTGAAACTGCATAACCATTTTTTTCCTAAATCCGATTCAATGTCGCTCTCATGAGATTAACCATAATATCTTCCATGAAATTTCAGAAAAATTCTAGCAGTGTACTAACTGGGCGCACACCAGCTACCCTACATCAACCCCTCAAGACCTTTGAGGTCCTAAAATAAGGTATTATTATTTGGCTATATTTCTTGCGTGCACCTACGCTGTATTAAACCCAAAAACTCCCCGCTGATTAATCCCAGTTAAATGAGAAAAACCTGCAACTGTATGAAAAAGACTCAGTGACCGTAGAGGGTCCGTTAGCGCTATATGTGACCCGGCTTAATTACTCCTCCATGAAAGCCCCAAAGAGAGATTAATTTCCGTTGCTCATTCTCTTCGCATAAACGCTCCCCCTTTTATTAGAAAACAAATCTCGACTCGGGAATGCCATATCTCTTGCTGGATAAAAATTATCCAACGGATTACGTAACAAGGAATAAAACGTTAGCTGGATTCCAGTGTACAATAAATCACATGTAAGCCGACACCATTGGGGTGCATTCACATTCGCTTCGGCCATTTGTATCGGGGCGATTAGATGGGCTGCAGGTGCAGCGTAAGAGAAAGAGACAGAGTTGTGGTTGGGAGGGTTGCATTGCTCTTTACCTTTGCGGATTGCCGCTGGACTGGGAGTAACTAGAACGAGAAGAACGACACCGAGATACGGCAACAGCCACTTCCCCATCGCGTTAACCGCCATCTTTGATGTTCCAGTTTTATGGTTTTTTTGCTTCCGAGGGATTTCAGTCTTCCAGTCACTTGGGACTGTCAATCATTCACTTCCATCACCTGTCTCATTTGGCTGACGCTCCATCTGAAACATAAATTTTCGATGGTGTTATTAAGGATAATCGGGCGAGGAGGAAATGTAGGAGGTGAGGCGGAGGGGTTTCTATTGTTTTCCTGCAGAAAACCAATCGCTGAACAAAAAAAAATTCCCATTCGGATTCAAAATTCAGGCAGTATTAGGGAGTATCTCCGGTTAAAAATTATTTTTGGAGCTAATCAAATTTATTTTTATCTGTTCCACGCATTGAATGGTTTTCAGATTGTTTTTTTTTTTAATGAATGAAAAAATATTAATCCATGCAAAAAAGTGGCAACATCGTCGGTATTTTTTTTTTTTCACCAGGAGCTGGTACCACTGGCTCGAGGGAGCTCCAATCACAACGCTTCATCGCTCTCTCTCAAGAGACGTTTAAATTGACCGCGCTACCCCCACCCGATCAGTACTTGGGACGTTGCTGCTCGTTTGGGCTGCGTGCGCAGAAATTTCATTTTTCAGTACTTTTTTCGCTATTATTAGTAAACAATGCTCCTAGGCGACAATCTTTTTCACTCAAAAAATCATTCCTCACATGTTCTAAATGTGTCTAAAGTTTCATGACTTTGACTGTATTTTTTCCTTGGGTTTTGCTGTTTTTTTGGTGATTTCCATAAGATTACGGGTTAAATGACCACTTTTTCAAAAATTCATAATAAATTAACCATGCTCCCCAGCAGTCTGAAACTTTGCACACACTTTTTCCATCATTTAAAGAATACGTAAAAAAAAGAAAAAAATGGCTGCTTTTTTTCCAACCCTCCCAGTTGGCCCGATTATCCTTAATGAGACGGGTACGGAAAGGCGGCGCCCGCCACCCGGAGCCAGTGGACTCGTGTAGTCGGTTTTTAGCCGCCCTGTTGCCACGTCGTTCGTTTCAGTTCAGACATACTAGGAACGTCGACATCTCTATCACGTGTCGTGTTTAGCGTCTCATAAAAAATGCGAATTTTTTTTTTTACAACATAAATGCTGTTTAATTCGAGAAAAATGGGTGCAGTGTAGATTTTTATTCACGTATAGGGCTCCAATGTGGCAACACCGCGCTAACCGTAACACGGGCGGCGCGTTGCTCACCGAGCCAGTGGACTCAAGTGGGCACCGAACGCCAGTTCAGGAGGGTTAATATTTTGTTTGATTGGTGAAACATTCGCTGAATTGTGTTTTTAGTTCCTATCTCCCAGAAACAAGGTACTGCTTTTAAAAACTGCATGGTCGTAACATGCGTCAGATGGAAAAACTCGCGGAAAAAAATTCCAACTGTCACTCATTCGCTTCCATCACCTGTCTCATTTGACTGACGTTCCACCTGAAAAATAAATTTACGATGGTATTTCTAAAACGAGAACGTGTATATCAGCCAGTGGATTGACGCGTTTGAATGAAATCAAATTCGTCATTTGAAATTTTATTTTTCAATCCAACGCTGTTTTGGTTGAAAATTAATGAATTCGTGTGTTCATTTCGATGCAAATATTTTCATTCGATTGAACGAATAATTAATAATAATTCGTTAATTGCGAATAAATTCTCTGTTGAAATAAAATGAACGATTTGTTTGATTGAGATAAAGTTTATTCAAATTAATTATTTCTCTAGGGGTGCATTGTTAGAAGATTTTTAAATCGATTTGGGGGAAAAATGGTTGTGAAATTTCATGTTTTAGGTAGAATTCAAGGAAATTCGTAAGTATTCAGTGGGAGTGAGATGGACATTTCACAATTTGATTGAATTTTCCATTTTTTCTTGAATTTTTTTGACTTTTATGAATTTTTACAGAATAATTGAGCTGTAAAATGAGGTATTTTGTTGATTCAAACAGAAAATCAATGAAATATTTGATTTTTCAATGACAAGAATTCCTGAAATTTCAGTGGAAATTGAATGCGATAAAAATTTGCGGGATTTGGCACCGAAAATGCCGACGAAAATTTTTAAAAGTGTTGTCAAATATAGTATTCTCTGAATTGTGTTTTTAGTCCTTAGCTTCCAGAACCAAGTGACTGCTTTTCAAAAATGCATGGTTCTAACACGCATTGAACGCAAAAACTCGAAGAAAAAAAATTCTGACTGTCAATCAGTCACTTCCATCGCCTGCCTCACTCGGCTCGAAAAATAACTTTTCGATGGTATTATTAAAGTGAGAACATGTGTGCAAAAGTCAGTGAAATAACGCGTTTGAATGAAATCAAATTCGTTATTTAATTAATAAATCCTTGGATTTATTTCGATGAAAATGTTTTCATTGTATTAAATGAATAATTTATTAATTGCGAATAAATTCTCATCAGTCAGTGAAATGACGCGTGTGAATATCGCTACGCACGCCTCACACAGCGTGAAGCGAGGGGCAGTGAATGCACGGCGAGAAATATTCATATTAGGCACGCGGAGCGTGCCGAAAAGTTCACTTTTCGTCACAGCGTGATGAAAAATTTATTATGCGTCAGGATAAAATTTCTCTAACGTAGAATAAAATTTGATCATCATATATTAAAAGTTTTACTAAAGTTCGGGATAGAAATGAAGAAACGATGACTCATGATACACTTTTATAGAACGGTAGGATTATTTTTATCAAAAAGTTCTCTCGGTGCAGATATAAAGACAAAAAGCGCCCCATGGATTTTTCATAGAAAAAAAAATATATTCAACAACTACATGAATGCTATCGAACCGGCAGTTGGGTGACATATAAATCATACAATACAAATTGCTCTCCCCCCGTCAACATATACAGCTTTCACTCTTGGTAATGAAAAAAAAGTCAACGAATTGTAATTCCGCCTTTTGAAATAGTGCAGTACCAAAAAAACTATCATACAATTTTCATTATTCGATAAATGTCACCGAAATGCGAAGCCGTCTCCTCCAATTAATCAATGGAATTCAGTTTAATTAAAAGTCCTCTAAAATACTTCAAACGAAATGTTGCATTTAATCCCATAAAAGCAGTTCTATTGCCGTAAAATGGATGAATACTTCACATGAAATTGATTTTTTTTTTCAATTTTCCTCTCGACTCTTTATTCGGCACTCGCCCCTCAATTTGCGACTGTGGTAACCGACACACCGCATTTGTATGAAGATAAAAGGAACCGCAAAAACTTGTGTCGATATTTGAATATGCAATTTCTTGCATATCCTCTGATTAGAGGGGGAAAAGAGTTTTAATTTTCAGGGACATGCCACTGATTTTCGGGGATCTATCCCTAATTATTGAGGATGTGGAGCGCTTAAACCTCTAAAAATAGTCCAGGGCCTCTAATTTTTGAGCTACAAATTTTTTTTTTTTTCAAAATTTTCGGAAACATGTGTGGAACAACAATTACGAGCCAGTTTTTTGGAATTCGACTGTTACACAGCTGATTTCGGTTTTTTTCATATAAAAAAATTTACTATTTGTGTAAAAAAATCCAAAAAAAGCAAATTTAGCTATGTAAGAGGTGAATTTAAAAAAAATAGCTCGTAATTGTTATTCCACATATTTTTCCGAAAATTTTGAGAAAAAAAATTGGAGGCCTTGGACTGCTTTTGGCATTTTAAGCGTTTTCGGGCAAACAAACAAAAAAAATTTTTTTTTGCACGAATTTTTCGTTTTCAGATCTATATAACCGATCTTCAACGCATGAAAAGTTTCACTCCAATAACCCACGACTTTTAAAACTCATAGTAATCTTTCCTTAAGAAAGTTTGAGTTTAGTTCATTCAAGTTTTTTATTGATGATTTTTTCATGTTTTGTTTTTCGCCGATTTTCTCGAATAATTCCGCAGATTTTGTGTGCGTTTATTTTTTCCCCAAAAAATATTTCATCGAAAACATCAATAAAACTTATTCTACCTAAGTGTTTGTATGTCGGTAAGTCGCGTTAGACCGACCGATTTATCCTCAAACCTTTCATCGCATTCAGTCTCTCATATGAATAGAAAATCCCAAACAACAAAGAGCTAAAAATTGTTGCCCTAACAGGTAGTGTCAATCCTTTTTTTAAAATTCTCTTTGATCCTATTCGTTACACTTCATTTTCTTTGTCTTCCGTTTTTCCGATTCGCTCGGTTTTAACATTCTATTCACCATCTATTTTTGTATTCATGTGTTTCACTATATTCTCACCCCTTTTTCCGTCCCCAGTGGAATGGTCAGTTCTTCCGTGTTCCGTTTTTCAAAACCATTCATCGTTCATCTCGGACTCACCGAGTATATACCCTGCCAAAAAGAGCCATATCTCACAGTGAATAAAAAGAAATTTACATGAGGCATCGATGCTTTTTTTTTTGTCCAATCTCGTTTTTTTCTTTTGATTTATTTTTGCGGCTTCCATGCCGACATTCACTCGCTTTCGAATTATATCCATCCACATCTGCATTTACTCTATATTTCATTCCCGCTGGGATTCCCGATTCTATGGTATGTTTTGGTTGGCATTCCTATGAAGGAATAAGTAGACTAATTAATTTCATCCGACAGTCTTGACATTCCTGTGATATTTGCCAGCGGGAAAATTGATCATCTAGAATGTCAGGTCCCTTCATTATTCTGGAGGAATTTCCAGCATTCCCGATAATTCGTACGGTGAATAAATAGAGAAAGTTGGGGCGATGTGGTTCAATGGATGACTAATAATGAATTTTAATAATTTATACATCAAACTCACTGGTTCATCAGTGCAAACATGAATCTACACTAGTCAGAATTTATTCAGCCGTGTTTTGGTGTGGTCATAAATTCTGTGATTTGGCTTTACTTCAGGACTGGAAATTATTCAACATCTTTCTGACGATAAATCCGGAGATTTAGAATTTATTAATTTCTCTCACAAAAATTTTTACTCCATAGGAAATATACCCTCAAAGTGCGAATATTTTGCTGAAATTTATTAAATACCTCAAGTGACTCTTCTAGTTGCCTTCTAGAATCGTTTTTTCCAGCCCCCCTCTTACAAGTGGTCATTACCGGTTAGAATGGGTTCTTCGAGGCGTTTACTCGAAGA